GTGCCCCTGGACCGGGGGCACTTCTTCCCGGCCGATGTGTACGCGGCATCGGTCATGCTCTACGAGTGTCTGACGCGCGCGGCCCCCTGGCCGGGGAAGAACATCGGCGAGATCATGGCCGCGGTGCTTGGTGGCTCTCGGCCGAGTGTGGCCCCCCTGCCGGGGGACGGCCCGCTGGCGGCGGCGCGCGACCTCGTCGAGGCTGGCTGGCAGGCGGATCCCAGTCGGCGGCCTCCAGCGACCACCGTGCGCCAGCGGTGTGTGGCACTCTTCGTCTCCGTCAATGGCTTGGCTCTCTCCTGAAAAAGCGCACGACTGCCTGAAACCGGGTGCATGCGGAAGGCCGCGTGCGCGCGCGCGCCCAGGGTCCGAGTCGCTCCTCCTTCGGGCCGGTGATTTTCCCGACTATAGAAGTACACCGCCCGGGTCGTGGTAAAATGCGTGCAATGTGATGAAGGGTGGGGGGGGGGGGATGGGGGCTTTGACTCGGTTGCCGTTCGCCTGTGCGAAGCCTCGCGAGACCTGGCCACCGCAAGAGCACCGGTTCGTGGAGGGAAAGTAACGCGGCCGACTCTGGGAGAGGGACTCGAGCAGGATATGGCGGTGCGTGGGCAGATGCACCGGTGAGATGGCCCAACGCATTTTGCGTTACACTTTCTTCCGGAAAGGCTGTCCACCGAAAATAGAGGGATTAAATATGCCCCCAGCGAATGTGATGTGTGCGCGTGTGTTTTTTTTTTGATTTTGAGGGACCCGGGTCCGGCCAGCGGCCGGGGCTGGCCCCCCCAAGCCCACCCCGTGCATTTTCTCCTTTTTTTCCCCCCCCCCCCCTGCGATGCCCCCCTTTTTTTTTTTCTTCTTCTGCTCCCCCCCTGCGTAGCTCCTCCATGTGCGCCTCTCTCCTTGAGCCCCGGGTGGCTGGCCTGCCGGCGAGCCGGTGTTCCTGAGAGGGGTCACCGTTTTACGTTTGACCCTCGGGTGCGGTTTGCATGTGGGGCTCCCCCTGGTGACGGCCCTGCCTGTGTCGGTCTGCCAGGCATGCTCCTGCGCGCGGGCGAGCCACCTGCGCGCGTGCAGTGGCGCGTGGTCCGCGAACTCGCAGGCGAGGGTGCTCCTCCCCGGGCACCCTCCGCGAATGCCGGTGCCACCGCCGCCCGGTGGGCCTGTGCATGCATCCCCCCTCAGGGAGGGCATTGTGTGCCTGGGCGGCCGGAGCCCGTTGACGCCACTCTCCGGGCGAACCGCGCGCGAGTCCTCCATCCTTGCTTCCGGGTTTGGCTCCGGGTGTCGAGTCGCACGCCCGCCCTGGAGCAACCGCTCGCCAGTGGCACCGCCCGCCCCACCCCAGGGCCACCCCCCTGCCATGGGCCCATGTCTCGGGGTGTATGCAGGCTGTCTTCCCCCTATTCGGCCGCCGTGCTGGCCGTCTGGCGGCCGGGTAGGGGGAGGCACCGAAGCCGCGCCTTGCGCCCATGGGGGGCCGACTCTGCAAGTGTGTGCAAATGGCGCGCGGGCTGCACATGTTACACTGCCCTTGTGGGGACTCGGTTGCTGCTGCTGCTGCTGCCGCGGCGGCGCCCTCACACGGAGGGGGAAAGCCCCACACACCCCACGGCCAGCCTCGCCGGGGCGGGGCACGCCTGTGCCATTGCTCGTCGCATGGGTAAGCAAGGATTGCCAGTGATGCAGCGCATCCCGGGAGGATGCGGAGAGGAAGCGGGGCGGGCCACCGAAAGGCGTCTGCGTGTGCGCAGGGCCCATTCTCGGGTCTGGCTGCGAGGGAGGCAGGGCCAAGCTCTCATGTGCGTGTATGTGTGCGAAGAGGGTGGGGGCGTTGAATCCGCGAGGCGGGAGCAGAGGGAACCGCCACACGGTCGTGTCTACCGGGGGGGGGGGCTCCTTGTGTGCCAGGGCCAGGCTCGACCACCCGCATGGGCGGGGGTGTTTGCAGCCAGCGGGCCAAGCCACGAAGACCATGCCGCGGGCTGTGGTGCATGAAGTGATGGTGCTTTGCATGTATCTCTCGCCGAGCCATGCTCTGGGCATGTGTTATCTCATGTGATGTATTTCGGCGGCAGGGACCACGTGTTGAGGCTTTTATCAAGGGACCTGGACTTGGAGCCCCAGCCGCAAGCGGAGGGACTGGCCCGGGAGAGGCGCGCGCGGTGGGCTGGGTGGGGGCCCGTGTGTTCGCTTCTGGGGTGCTCCGATGCGGGGGGGGGGGGGGGGGGGGGGGGCGAGGGGGGA